TGGAGTTGGCATATTTCTTCCACACATAAACAGGAATATCTAGCAAGGGTGGTGGGTATTAGTGATGGCATCATCAATGGTTGACGGCACTCCCTCCTTTTTAATTTTTTACACATGGAGTCTAGAGCTCCTGTGCAGAAATGCTAGAGGCATTTCCTACTCCATCAAAACCGTTGTCACTGGTGTTTCTCTGTTCACTGATTGGACCATCAGCACACACGTGGAAGGATCAGAGAAGAGAACACTCAACAAAATACTTCCTGACCCTGCATTAAACGGAAGCATTTTAAATAATATTCGAAGCAAAACTCTTTCAACAAGTAGTAGCAATTAATAGAAAGCAGTTGCTCTACAGAGCGACCAGCACAAGCAACCCCACACACACACACACACACCATTTTTTGCTTGTTTTTAAAAGGCAAGTTTTGCAATAGAACACTGAGGGGAAGGTGACTGCGTATGTGGAAGAGTCATGGAACATAATGTTAAAGAAAATGGCTCCTGAGCTTACCTCAACTGGTGCCATTTTAAATAGGATGTGAAGTATTGGTGTCTCCCCTCCCCCAACCCTGAGGATAAATGATTTTCCTTTAAAAAAAAAAAAAAGGCAATAAAACATTGCTAGGTCATTGGAGCACTGAAGCAATAACCTATCAAGTTCTCTGAATTCCCAGTTTTCATTTTAAAAAAGTAAGTCTCTAGCCCTTTCCTTCACAGAGATATGCCTTTTCCTTATATCTCCATGAAGGAAGGAGAGTGTAACTTTTTTTAAAAAAAATGAAAGCTGAGAATTCAGAGAATCTGTGTACTAAGACTACTGCTTTAATGCTCTGGCAATCTAGCAATATTTTATTGCCATTTATTTAAAAAAGGAGAAAGGGATGGGACCATGAAACTGACCAGATTACAGGGGAAACAGTGAAAAAATGCTTCTGCTATGTACTTATGGTCAGTATCATAGTCACTGGGCTTTCTGGTCAGTTTCACAGCAGCCAGGCTGACCAGAAGAGCCACACCGCATGTAGGCAAATTCCTTAGCATTCAATCGCTAATCTTGCACATTTAATTTTTTTTAAAAGGAGTGAGAAAGTACCAGGCGGAGGGGAGGAGGCATGCAGGAGGGAGGCATGGAATCAATTGAAAAAGTTGGATGTGGGTGGGCATAAAAGGGTGGTAGAAGAAACCCCGAACAGAGCATATCCTCATGTTGAGTGAAGCCAACTCAGAACTGGCTAGAGGGGGAAAAAACCCTCTTATAAAAGCCAGAGAAAAGCAGAGGAAAAATTGAAGCTACTTTTTTTTGGGGGGGGGGACATGTGGAAAAGAAAAAAAATGTTGAGGTAGTTCGGGGCCAAAACCTACAAAAACCACACATGCAGAATAGTACTATAGCTTGTGGGCTGTAATAAAGATTGACTGTCTAATCTTACATTCAGAGTGTCGCAAATATATAAACAAACTACATGCCTAGTTCCTCGAGCCATTTTTTAATAAACCATGTTGGAACTCTGAAAAATTGTGGGCAACACTCTTGGTCCATAGTGGCCTACAGAAGATCAGAATTAATCACCATTTTTAAAACATAACAAATAGCAGAAGAAACCACCCAACACTTCCCTTCAATATTTGAACAAATATATTACAAAAAACTTTTCCTTTACGTGTGGGTTTATTAGTGTTACCAAGGGCCTGAACATCTACACATTCTGAGAATGAGTATGTGTGTGGGAGGCACGTTCATCCCAAAAGCCAGCTTCTGCTTTTGAATTTGCAAGTGAAATCAGGTAAATCACTCTTGACTTATATTTAGCCCTGGGGCTGCCTTATGCTGACCAGCCCTCACACTGGAAGTGTGCCTTTAATCCACAGGTAATTTCCAAGCTCAATTGAGTGCTAACTCTTGAACGATACCAACGACACATAATTTTTAATTTATTTTTTTTCATTTTAATTCATTTATACCCTACTTTTCTCACAAAAGGGAATGCTTACAGCATTCTCCCAGATCCTAGTCCAACGTTCTAACCACTACAGTGTGCCATCAACACACAGGAACACATTCTTGATGGCAGCTCCACAATGCACATCTCCTTTCCCCATGAAACAATCCAAAATTCAAGTATCCTTCACCAGCACTGTGAGGCACTGCAGTTTCTACTTGGACCTGTTCTTAGCAACTAAGGCTAAGCAAATTTTATGTTGGATCAAAGCTTTTCTGCTGGTGAAAAAGAAATGCAGTGTTGAGTCTGCTAAGAAAGGTTATTGTTGCCAAGAAGACACACACACCCCTCCACCGGGGAGAAGTGACCCAGAGGGTCCCTGCCCTTGGAATCTTGTACCTCTGAGGCATTAGACAAAGGAAAATGGTCAGTAGGATCCCTCCCCCATTTGTAAAGCATATTATCTGTCATTAAAGAGGACTTAGCCACTTTAGCCATACATAAAAGGAAAATAAAATGCCCAACCAAGCCCAGGAGAACCCCAAGGCACCAATTGTTGAGAACTTGTCTTAGACACCTGGTAATTACTTCAACTCCACCTGACCAATACCTGTGAATGATGCACTCACCCTTCCAGAGTAGTACCCAGACTGAAAGCAGGTACACTGCCTTGCCCAGAGAGGCTGGATATTAACTCAGCCAATTTCTTCTACCACCTAAGCTAGTAGTTTGTCTTCATTTAAATTTAATCAGATTCCCCACACACCTTACCAGCCTCTCAGCAGCCTCTTGTTGTGCCAGCAAAAATTGGATTTTTCTCTCTCAAATCCAAACCCCAACAGTCTAACAGACAAAAAGTATCAAAAGGGCTTTTTTGCCCAGCAGTTTGGATTTGGCAAACTTTAGGACTCAGAGATCACCCTGAAACCAGGCAAGGACTCTGACTTGCCCAAGGACTGTTTCCACCCTCCCCATGATCTTCAAGTAACCCCAGACCACTGAGTACATACCCCCTTCTCACTGGATAGGAAAAGTATATTGTACATTCTCCCCTTTATTCCCCATTCAGACATATATCCCCCACAGTATTTTTACATAGGAACAGAGTGCGTAATAGACTCCTCTGTGGTACCAGCTGCTTAGTTTTAAATTGTCTCTGACTCTCCGCTCTTCTTTATACTACCTCCTTTATTCTAAATAAAAGTGTACTCTTCAGATATCCTTTGCCTCCCATTTCTGGGAACATGGTACCAAGATTGACTGATGTATACATAGGCTTAAAGTTCCCAAATGAAACACAGACTAATTTAGATGAACCAAGAAAGGTTGTACAGGGAACAGTTTGCATAATGTCATGCAGAGAATCATGGGACCCACATGTACAAAAACCATCTGATATGGGAGCTGCAATGTGATCATAAAGCCTCCATGCAGGAGCTCAGTTAAAATCTAAATACTGCAAACTACATTCAGACTGTTACATATTCCATTCAATCTGAATGTAGTTTGCAGCATTCCTTGAAAATAATTACCAAAAAGAACCATCCACGGTTAGAGTTCACTTCCAAGATCTATCCTCCCTAATAATGGCAAGTATCTAAATATTGGCAGAGCAAGTCTTTCCCACCGCCTCTTCTTTCTGTTGCAGTCCACTGTGGTCCCCTCCCCAAATTTTGTCCCTGGGAGTCAAAACAGGGATGTCGATCCGAAAAAAAAGGGTTGGGTTTTGTTGTTGTTGTTGTTTTGCATTTCAGGAAGGGACTAAATATCAATATCTGGAGTATTTGGGTCCCTGATACCATTTTGTGATTCAGGTTTTTCTATGGGGGATTTTTTTAGAGTCTTTTTCAACCAAATGACATGAAACTGTAGAAGACTTAGCACTGCCCATTCACTAAACAACTCCGAAGTTTCAAGCAATTTGTATTAAGAGGTCTGAATTTCATGGGGCCTGGAACAAACTGTCCAGCCATCCTACTTGTCTGCATTGTTTCTTATAGGGATAATATTCAAAGACATCAATTGCCAAACACACAAGCGCAACCACTTGCCAAAAGCCTCCAAATGCAAGCAGGATCAAAAAACCCAACACAACCAATGTCAAAACAGAGATCCCAACAGAACCCAGAGTCAATGTGACAAGTCCAAGAAAACCAACAGCCCTGCATCACTGGGGGCCCTGTTCCCTCCCACCCCTAAAAAGAAGAAACTCAGCAGCAACATTGCTTCTTTTTAGGTACTTTTTTGAGATCAGCTTCTACTTGTTTTAAATGGACATTCTTCTACTTTCCTGATATCTCTTGTTGGCAAGAACAACATTTTCAGCATTGTATTTATTTATTCTCTACACAGAAGTGCTCTCCCAACATCTGATCACACTGCCTAGGAGAGCTGCCTCCCTCCTTGCACCCAAAAACCCTGTAAAATTTAAGGAAAAACAGGCCAGGGAGCCATAAAATGCCAGCCATGAATATTTTCAGAAATCAATATTTGGTATTCCTGAGAATCCAGAATATCACTCAGATATATCTGACAAATACTGATAAGGTACTGTTCATGTGCATGCATTATAGCATAGGAAATATCCACATGCACATCCCTAGTCAAAAAACCTTCAGGGATAGTATAAGGCAAAGTAGGGGGCCTGCTGTGGGAAAGGAATACCAATGAACATCACCACTCCTTCTTTGGCAAATGGAAATGCCATTCCATCAGAAAAAACTCACAGATAAACTCACAACACCAAGTTTACTTTCTTCTAAAATGTACCACTCCATCAACAAAAGGTTAGCTTTAGTTTCTGACCTTTTCATGAGAAACAAAGTTGTAAATTCCTGACAAATGCTTCTGCAAGTGTATGAATCACACAGGCCAGATGTCTCATCATTTCCAACATGTTATAGTCACAGTTCATTAAGGATCTCTCCTCTGCAATCAAATCAACAGGAGTTACAACAGAGTTCATTGGTGCTATAGCTAATTTCCATGATTTCAAAAAGGAGATGCTTCCAGTGCGTCCTTCCTTCCACCAGCATCTTAAATTAGTGACAATGTTAATACTCACTCTTCCTAGCTCCTTATCTTCAAGGGCCAGGACTCCAGTGCTCTCTGTAAAAAGTTTAACTTTGATAACAGGCCGAGGATGAGTTGTGGTGAAATCCCCTTGAGTTCCCCATCTGTAACAAAGAAAGGACAAAATTCAGATTCCAAGTTCATTACAAGCAATTATTGACATATGGACTAAACCCCTGTAAACAAATATAACATTTTTACCTCACTACAGAGACCATACTTCCATCTGACAATTCAGCTCCCGGAGTGAAACAAATTTAATGATTTTCATATATTACCTTTGTAGTTAAAAATCATCTAAGGTCACAGATGGCATAATGGGAGATTGACTATATTCAGGGAGTACGCAATATCAAGCAGATGAACTTATATGAATTTATGTTCAGTAAGTTCCTGTTTTTCCACTAAAATAAACTGTAGACATTAGGATCAATTATATTAGATTAAACTTGTTTCCCCCCCTTCCTAGCAACTTACATAATTGACTAGTGTAAAGATTTAAGCAACGTTTCACCAAATCACTGTTTGGTTTCTATTGCTCTGATATGGAGGTACCAGCACCAACCTCCAGGTGTGTAAACTTGCCAGTCATCCATAGGTGGGACTGCATAGAGACCACAAAGTGTTACTGACCGATGTTATCTATGCAATCACACAAGCTATCTTTTCTTTCCACTGCTAGTGTCCTGCCTCTGTCATGGGGGCAGGGGCTGCATGCTCCAACTGAAAGGAAACCAGAAAGAGGCTGATCCCCCACACACTTCTACCATGCCCACAGTGACCACCAGTTTCTAGGCTACAGCTCAAACATCTTCAGGAGATTTAAAATTCTTCGGTGGACTGCACAGAAACTATGAAAACCTTGGCTACATCGTCACAGGAACAGAAAGAAGAGAGACTCATGAGACATATCTTTGTAGTCTTCAAGAGGTCTAGTTAATGAGATGCCCCCTTTTATAGATCAAGCCCTAACAGCCCAATTTGGAAGGAGGCTTTTGTGACGCTCTAGCTCAGTGGAAATATAAGAATGCCAATTTAATCCCTACCTACAGTTTCCCAGGGGGGAAAAAACACCTAGGAACATACCCAGAGAGTCTCCCCTAAGACAGGGCTGTCTGATAGTCAGAGGATCTGGCATATAGACCAGTAACCTCACTCAAGTAACCCTTTCAACAACTGTGTGCTTCCTCCTGAAGTTCTAGCCACTGATCACTGCAAGAAGAGAACAAGTGCAGGCAAGCACTGAAATAAGCTCTGACATCACAGATGAATGAAGTTACAACCTTTTTGTAATTGCAAGGTTCTCCCAAGTCTTTGAAAGATACATGACAGACACAGAGTTAACAGATACAGCTATCCCCACCCATGTCCCGAAGTGTCCTGTGACAACAACATCAGTGAGAGTGCTAACTCCAAAAGTGCAATGCGAAGTCTAGCGGCTCTGTTCTTTCTCATCTGCTTTGAGAACTTCGCGCAATAGGCACAAGAGTCCTTTGACAATCTTAGGCCCTGTTCATACGAGCCCATTTGGTCCAGAAGCGGGACGGAACAGGGGCGGAGCAAACCGGCACGATCCCACCTCAACATCTGGGGAGCGTGCCGGATCCGTCCCGGTTCCGTCCCTTCCAGCGTTGCTCCGCGGCAAAAAAGAACCACCTCCCGAGGTGGTTCTTTCCGAAGGGCCGCAGCAACGCTGGCCGTGGGATCGCCGGCGCGTCCTTGCGCCAGCGCATCCCCGGCTCCTGGCCGAACTGCGCATGTGTGAGCATGCGCAGTTCGCCAGGCTCCCCTTCCCACCGCTGCGTTCTCCCCGGCATCTGATCGTGCCGGGGAGCGTTGCGACGCGGCTCGGGGGATCTGTGAGATCCCGCCGCGCCGTCCCAACTTTGCCGCGGCTCACTTTAGCCGCGGTACTAGCACCTAATTCCCTGCCGTGTGGCAGGGACCTTAATTGGTCTTTTATGTTGGAGCAACTGGTGGAAATGTGGAAAATATCTCTACACTATGGTAAAAGCGATATACACAACACAATCAGCAAGAATTATAGTGAATGGTGACCTTACACGAAATATTAATATTGGGAAAGGTACAAGACACGGATGCCCATTATCCCCGCTTTTATTTATCTTTGCTTTGGAAACACTGAATAATATGATTAGAGAAGATGGTGAGATCATGGGACTCAGACTCAGAAGAGTATAAATTACAAGCATTTGTTGATGATTAGGTATTTATATTAGAAGATCCCCAGAATTCAATAGTTCAACTTCTACAAGTAATAAAAGAATATGGTTTGTATGCTGGCCTGAAAATAAACTTAAAAAACCCCAAAACTATTGTTAAAAAATTGCAATAAGGAATAAGAACAAGTTATACAAAATGTTTCAGGAATGGAAGCAGAAAAAAATCAAATATTTAGGTATAGTAATAACCAACCAATGCAGCTCACTGTATAAAGATAACTACATGAAGTTATTGGTGGAAATCAAAAAGGATCTAGAAAGCTGGAAGCATATGCAATTATCATTTATGGGAAGAATAGCAACAGTTAAGATGAATATCTTACCCAGTCTGATCTTCCTGTTTCAGACAATCTCTCCTTATATATAATTGAATAGTGGGTGCCAAAGTTCTAATTCTAAAATGCACTCCCTTAGTGTATGGCTGATGGCACTGCTCCTCAGCATATATCGCCACCAATCAGAAGGCAAAGCCCAGGTCCCGCCCACACCACAACTGCTGCGACAACCTGGTCTTTTGCATATGGAAGCTGATTGGACTTCACTCCATTCCACACCTCAAACTCCCCCCCCCGCAAGGCAGTTGGAATGTCAGTTGCATATGGAATCTGCTGTATTCTGGTGGTGTGCAGGTCCCAGATTCATGTTTTAAAAGCAGACTGACACTGTTTGCCCAAAGCCAGAGCACTCTCCCAGAGCCTCTTTCTAGATCCCGTTGTATTTATTTCCACAACGGGCCTTATTTCTAGTTCCAATTATAAAAGAGCAAAAAATATTTTAAAGAACTAGAAAAGCTGACTAGAAAATTCATATGGGAAGGGAAGAAGCCAAGAATTAAGCTAAAATTATTGCAAGATTCTAAGGAAAGAGGAGGGTTAGCATTACCAGATTGGAAATTATACTATAAAGTGGCTGCACTTACATGGGTGAAGGACTGGATTACATTAGAAGATGGACGATTGTTAAAGCTAGAAGGACATGATTTAATGTTGGGTTGGCATGCTTTTGTTTGGTATCAGAAAAGTGCTAACCACAAATACTTTAAGCAACATATGTTGAGAGCAGCATTAATAAAAGAATGGGAGCAAGTCCTGAAACTACATTACACCAAAGTACCAAAATGGGTTTCTCCATTAGAAGCTTTTACAAATCCAATGATATTCACTAAACAACAGATGTGGAGATATCAAGATTTGTTAGATAGTCAAAATAAATTAATGCAACAAGAAAAGTGAAAAGAAAAAGGTATTAACTTGAATTGGTGGGAAAGAGCCCAAGTAGATTCTAGATGTGAAAGATAAAATGAAGGGATTCTGTGATGTATTTGTAGAAATGGACAAAATGTTGTGGTGTGTTTAAGAGAAACATATAAAACTTTTTTATAAGTTGCTATTAGAAGCCAAAATGCAAGATGAGGTAGTAAAAGAAGCCATGGTTAAATGGGCACAAAATATAGGTCATAACATACAATTAGAACAATGGAAAAAGGTATAGAAAGTCAATATAAAGCTCACTAAAGCTGTGTCTTATAAGGAAAACATATATAAAATGTTTTATAGATGGCATATGACTCCTGAAAATTTAGCTAAATGGTACCCAAATATGTCAAATGTTTGTTGGAAATGTAATCGAAAAACTGGCTCTTTTTACCATATATGGTGGACATGTGATGTTGTAAAAAAATATTGGATATGGATACATGAGATAGTAAAAAAATTATTGACATAAATGTATCTTTTATACCAGAATTGTTTTTATTAAATATTACTCCACAAAATGTTAATATACAGGATGTATATATGATTATACAGATTGTAACAGCTAAAATTTTATACGCAAAATACTGGAAAAAAGAAGAAACACCATCAAAGGAAGAACTAATTTCACAGTTGTTGGATGCAGCAGAAATGGATAAACTAACTTTACAATTACATGAAAAGAAGAAAGTGACTTTGAAAGAAAATGGGCGAGATTTTATAATTGGATACAAAATTATCTTGGAGAACTTAAAACACGAAATACAACAAAAACTTCACAGATACGGCCTAGAAGACCTAGAGTTTAAAAGTATACTGTAACTCAAGCTGATGTAAAAGTATAGTGTCCATTCTGTTAGTAGTTTTTTTGTTCTGTTTCTCATTTCTTTTCATTTTGTTTCTTTGTAGTATCTTTCCTCAAAACCAATAAAATTCTGTTTTTTTTAAAAAAGAGTCCATTCGGTGTGATTCCCCAAGGCACAGAAGGCAAAGTGAGTGTCCATCAGGGAGGCGATTTTACTACTACGCTTGAGGCACCATTTAAAGAAACCCCACCTCTTGGCCATAGGCCAGGAGAGGAGGGGGGTGAAACAGGGTCTACCTAGCAGGGAGACCCAAACGAAAGAGTTAAAAAAAAAAAAGCAAAATCTGGTAACAATATTATCCTTTCACTTAGCAGAAAAAGAAAAAAATAAATTCCAAAGAAAAGAAGAAGAATAGGCCCTAAAGCCAGAAGTTTACCAACCGAAGCGGAGAAGATCCTACCAGTGCAGACCCGAGTGCTGCATGATGGAGTGAGCTCCTGACTCTGGTCCCAGCTCCTGCCAACCTAGCAATTCAAAAGCAATAAATTGCAAGTAGATAAATAGGTACCACTTCGGTGGGAAGGTAAACAGCGTTCCGTTCGCCTCGGCATCTAGTCATGCCGGCCACATGACCATGGAAATATCTTTGGACAGCGCTGGCTCTTCGGCTTGGAAATGGAGATAAGCACCACATCCCTAGAGTCGGATACAACTGGCTTTCGAGCAAGGGAAACCTTTACCTTTACCTATTTTCAAATAGTCTCCTGATTGGCTCATTTAGGGCTCTTTTCTGTTCCCTCCT